AGGTCTTAATGGCAAAACCACTTACTTCAAGAGAAAACATGATCCATGGCTAGCCCAGAACAGACACATGAGGGTCTGGAAAAGAGAAGCCCCAAGGACCAACGACCCCAGGAGCTGCTGCAAACCTGCTGTTGAGATATTAAACTTCTGCCCTGGGGAAGCGATAAAATAAACATCCACCCGGAGTGTCTCTCAGAAGCAAAGGCTTCTATGATGAGAAATCCAGAGCCAGTCAGGGCCCAAATCACACCCTCAGATGTTGGAAGATCCTGAGGAAGAAACAACCCAGATGGACCTGCCTCCAGCCCTGGCTCCTCACAGTCAGGAGTTCAGCAAGGTGTGTCCGTCCCTGGGTGGAGGGTGCTGAAGGAGCCGGGGCTGAAGCTGCCTGGAAGGAGGGGACAGTGACAGCTATGAGACTGCTTTGGGTGAGCAGGGCCATGCTGTCCTGGGGACTGTGTCTGGTCCAGGCCTCCAACACGTGGCTCAGGACAGGACCAACTGGGGGAGCTGGGTGACTTCTTGCCCTCCTTGTCCTCCCTGATGTCCTCTCTGTCTCTGTCTCTGTCTGTCTGTCTCTCTCTTTCTCTGCCTCCCTTTCCTCTTTTTCAGACTATGTAATTCAGACTGACTCGAGACTCTTGACCCTCCTACCTCGGCTATAATTACAAGTGTGGGTCACCCACTGGCTCTTCCTCTTCCTCAGAGGTCACAACCAATGATTCCCAAGGTCCTGGGGACTAAGCCACTGGGCAACTCACCTGGACACCTCCAGGCGTCCCAGGGATCTGTTCTCTGGCCCCAATCCACTGCAGCTGGAAATGGGTAGAAGAATCTTTGGTTATCTGGTTCTTTCTCCCTCTTAGCCAACCGAGTCATACACTCCCGAACACATCTGAGGCAGACATCATTCATCGAGCCCTGCACACTCACAACCTGGATAGCGTGACCTTTGAGGCTCTGGCTTGAGAAATGCAACACACACGCATGCATACACATATACCTGCATTCACACACACGTGCAGGAACATGCACTCACACACCCTGTCTGGGCCTCTGCTCAGACACAGCACTCACCCAAGCTCAGGCTTCAACAGGACTTCTCTCTGTCAGGCTGCACGGGAGCCTGCCTCTTGGTCTATGACCTGTGGCCATGTTGTCCCAGTCTCTGCCTGTGTTGTCCTCAGGGAAGTTCATTCCTGGATCTGGAACCATCTGATCATCTTATCACAACTGCAAAAGTCCCACTTCCAAGTAAGGGTTCCAAGCAGGACTGAATTTGGGGGGTACTTTACCCCAGTGCAGGTACCGGCAGTAGGAGGGCAACATGCCAGGACCCCCAGCTTCTGTGTAGAGGGGGCTCCATTATAACCCTCTCAGGTCCCTCCACTCCTGCTGGAGTTCTCCTGGGCCCCGAATGGGAGCTGTCTCCATCTTTCGAGGGGTTGTGCTAGGCAATGATGGTAGAGCCTGCCATGAACAGGGTGGGACTCAGAGGGGACAGCAATGATGTCGGGCAGGTAGGGAAGACTTGGGGGGGGACAGGGGAAGGATAGAGAGACTAGGAGGCTGGAGAGAGGGGGAGGGGAAGATCAGGCTAAGGGGAAAGGAGAGGTCAGGGGGAGAAGAGGCCAGAAAAAGAGGCCGGGGAGGCTATCATTGCTCAGAGCTGGGCATGGGGGTGAGAGGGAGACCCAGGATAGGTCCCAGTTTGGAGCCTTAGACCAGAGAAGTGGGGTACCATATTCTGTGGCTAAGGCCAGCTCAGGCTGGACACAGGGTCTAGCGTCCCTAGGGCAGGGTGGGTTGCTGGGAACAGCATGGGGAGGACAGCAGTGATAGATGACAAGTGTTTACAGATGGTGTGAGTGGCCCTTCACCTGGCCATAGCTGGGTGTGTGGAGTAGACATGGACCACAGGCTAAAGGGTCAGTGAGGACAGTGACCTCAAGGTATCAGGGCTTGGTGGGAGAGCTGCATTAGAACAGAGCCTCCATTGGATCAGACAAGAAGGAAGCAGCCAAAAGGCGCATCCCTTGTGTCCAGCCACACGCCGCAGTCACATGAGCCCCTGGCCGTTTGCTGCAGCTCATCCTAGTGGCCACAGGTGATGCTGCTCCACAGACACCATGCTCTCCTCAGACCTGAGGCCCTAAGCCCAAGCTGGCCCGGGACCCCCAGAGCTGAGTCGATGAGGCTCAGAGCTCTGCACCCCTGGGATCCATCTTTGGCTGGCTGGGCTGGGGTAGGGGGCCACACCTGCTCCGGGGTGGGATGGAGGGTGCTCTTCCGGGCCTGCAGCTGTTGGGCCTGAGGACAGACAAGGCCTCTGCTGCAACAGCTGGGCCGGAGGCTTGGGAGCCAGGAGAGCCCAGAGCCCAGGCAGCCCCCACAGGGGATCGGTTACAGCGGCTGCAGATGCTGGGGGGCTGGGTGAGGAGAAAAGGAGCAGAGGGACTGAAGGCTCCCCCAGACCACCCTCCTCACGCCAAGCTCCCTACCTCTGATGCCCTGTGTGGCCTGAGACCCCGTCACAGTCCCTTTAGGGTTGCTTCCCACCACGACACCCCAGCTATCCCCTGAAGCTCTCTGCTCAGGGCCGCGGCAAGCTAGACTGTTTGGGAAGCCCCTCCTCTAGCCTCTGGGCAGAGTGCAGTGGCAGCTGCTGTTGTCCTAACTGAGCAATGCCCACTGCCCAGCAGGTGTGTGAGGGAGAGACTTCCCGGTGAGTGAAAATTCAGGGTTACCCTCGTGTGCACATGCTGCTACCCATGGATCCCTTGGAGGATCCACTCCAGAGACAAAGACACACTAGTGTACAGGCGTCACCCGGGACATCTTTTGAGTGAAAGAGTATCGTCGTGGTAAAGGGACTGCCATGCAGTCTTGCCTCCTGAACTCTGAGGTGTGGAAAGGAAGCTGGAGTCTCACCCTGCTGGGGCCCTGGGAGGGGAGTGGGTGTCACCTCCCTGTCCTCTGGCTCTGACAGCCTGGCATCTAGCAAAGCAAGAAGCAGGGCCAGACCTGGGCCAATAGCAGCAGAGGCATGTAATGGCAAACTCAGCAGTCCCGGTGCTGGGTTCTGGCCAAGAAGCTCCCACTAAGACAGCCCCACCTTCCAGGCACTGAAAGCATGCCTCAAGCCACGCTTCATATAGGGCCCCAAGAGCCTGGAATGGACAAGCTGGGGGTAGGTGGCCCAGGCCTTTCCAGGTGCTAAGGGATACCACTGCAGGGCTCCCTCTCTCCCCAACAGACCTAGCCTATAGCCCACATGGGGCCAGAGCAGGCAACTCCTTGCATCCCAGAATCTTGGGTGCTATCCGCTTGCCCACCTGGCCACGGTCCCTGACAGCCGGTTCAGCGAGGGACAGACTCAACTCTTGAGCCAAGGACACATTGGCCTGGCTACTGAAGGACCGAATGACTGGTTTGCCAGGATTTGGGGGGATTTTGAACCATCTGCTGTGGCAGGTGTGGTCAGCATGACTAGCAGAGTCCATGGGCTGCCTGGAGGATGGCCAGCCAGCTGCTGGGGGGCTGGGTTTGCCAGTCTGGCCACTTGCCTGGGGCAGCAGAGCCAAAGGAGAGAGGATGGAGCACAGAGAGGCAGATCACTGTCCCCTGCCTGGCGTGGTTCAGGCTCCCAAATGGACACTGTGGCAGCTGGTCAGCAAGGCGAAGGCCTCCTTGGGGATTTCCGGTCTAGTCCTGCAGGTGGGGAGTTCAACCATGGCATGGAAAACTGTAAATATAAGGCAGTAGGCAGCATACTGAGGACTCTGCCCTCATCTCGGGGACTAGTGATGTAATTGCCATGATGCTGTGCAATGAGCTTTCATGAGCTGTGTGGGTGCCCCCCACTGGCCAATGTTGGCCTGTTCCAGCAGATCGCAATGAGCAGATGGACCCTGGGCACTGGATAGCAGCAGCCTGGGAGCGAGGGTTGCATGGAGGAGCTAGAGGCAACTCTGAACATCCCCCTGCTGGATAGAAGGTTTAGAGGTGCTTAGGCAGGGTGGGGCAGGAAGAGAGCTGCCTGACCTAGGACCCCCAGAAGCAGGTCTTCTAAGGCTATGAAGGTCACTGAGGGAGCTTAGCCAGGCATGCATGGTAAGCAGGTCTATGCGAATAAACAGAGCAGCCTAAGGATGCCCCCACAGAGGTCAAGGGTGGGCTTTGGCCAGGGTTTCTCTGGGAGCTGACCATTACGCCCTGAGTCAGACAGGTCCTCTCCTCCTTCCAGGTTGCCCCACCAGGTGAGAAGCAAGGCTAGTGAGGGCTAGGGCTGAGGTGGAGCTATAGACGTGTAACGTCATGCTGAGCGACACTGAGGAAGGAGGCTGCTGGGCCCGGCTGATACTGGAGGAGTAGAAGTGGACTCCCCGTGCAGGCTCAGGAACCCAGGCTGCCTGTGAAGCTAAGCCTGAAAAAGCTACAAGGGCTAGCCCCCCCAAGCCAATCTGAGGAGGTGCCACTAGGGCAGGTCCCCAAGGAGAGAGCAGAGGAGCTCTCGCAGTTACTGGTTTCACCCTCCTGCCATGAGCGCAGAGGAGCCAAGGCTGGAACGCTGATCTGGGGTGCAGGCTTGCCTGGGAGAGCACACTGAAGAGGTCTGACTAGGCCCTATGGCAGTTGCTCCTGGGACTTTCTGAAGGAGTTTGATGGTGTGTTACTGAGGGCAGGGGAGGGTAGCGGAGGGGTAACCGGACAGGCGGCACAGTACGAGCTTTTGAAAAGCCACTTCCTAGCCTATGGGTAAGGGTCACTGGCCTGGAAGCCGGGGCCCTTGAACTAATTCAGGAAGGAACCGGAATAGAAGAACTTTGGCTCAACCAGTCCAGACCAGCAACAAAGCCCTGAACTGTCCTTAATTCAGCTGCATGTAGTGACCACTATAGCCACAAGATGGCACCAAAGGCCGGCTGGTGGAGGCTTCTGTGCTGGAGGGAACTCACGTGGGCCAGTTGGGGGCAGGGCCTTGATCCTTCATTGCTGGCCAGGCTCCTCCTTCTTGGCCTTCAGAGGACTGAGGGTGACAGTGGGAAGCCCTGCTGTGTGAGTAGGGGGTCGGAGGTGGGGGTGGGGGTGTGCACCATCCAATATGAGCCCATTTCTCTGAATGAAGGTGGAGGAAACTACAATTCTTGTTGAGGAGGGTCCTCTCTTCCACCCTCTCTCCTCCAGACCACTCTGGCTTTGCTGCCCAGGCAAGGTCTGCAAAGACAGCTCAGTGCTGGGCGGACAGGAACTGGGGTATTGCCCAGTCTGGAGTCCAGGGCGGGTGGGGGTCCCAGAGAAAGGACCTGAAGGGAGGGGGGCTTGAATAAACTGGGTGTAGAGGTACACTCCTGTAACCTCCATACTCACAAGGTGGAAGCAGGAGGATCAGAAGTCAAGGCCATTCTTAGCTACATAGTGAGTTCAAGGCCATCCTGAACTACGTGAGACTCTGTCTCAAAAAAAGAAAAAAAGCAGGGGGTGGGGGTCTGGGAAAGTTGGGCAGAATCAGAGACACTGGGAGACGGGGCTCATAAAGAGCTCATATCCTCCCTCTCCCAAGCCTCTAATTTGTCTTCGCGGATGTTATAATTTGTCTCCTCAGATGATTATCACAATGTCAACCTGACATGGGTTGTGGTGAGAATCCCTACGCAGGTCTCAGGGCTCACAGGGCCTTTGGACAATTAGTTCCCCTTTATCTGCCCTAAGGCAGGGAAGTGTGCCTTCCCCTCACCCCACCTGCCTCAAGTCCTTTAGCATCTGTAGGCATGAGTAAGGGGGTCCTGAATAAAAGGATATCAGATATTTATTTGGGGAACACTCACACAATAAAGGTGGAGAGCCGCCTGGGGTGCAGGAAGCTACAATCAGATCTCTGACCATCACCCGAGAGAGAGAACATAGATCTCTCATCAGCTTACACATAGCACCCGAGACCATCCCTCAGTGGGCCGGTACCCCAAAGGCTACTGGTTGAATGAGTTCCCACAGCAGAGTCCCACTTTCCCATTCTGATTTCTGAAAGGGACAGTTGGCCCCATGTCCTTTCCATTTCCTCAGGGGTTCCCCACTAGGGCCTGTGTCTCCCTGAGGGGCCTAAGGAGCCCCTTTCTGCATTTCACAGGACAGGAGAGTTTGGCAGCAGGAGCCAGGATATCAGACATGGACAATCCTCTCTATGTCTGATTCTTCACTCGTCGTCACCCCCGGCCCTGGCCAGCAAATACCAGCAGGAACATTCGAGAAGCTCTGCCTCAGCCTCTCTCCAGCTGCGCCCTGTGCCATCTGCCAAATGACCTTTGCCCAACACCCTTATTTTATGGTCATGTCTACAAACTATTTAGATCACGCTGTGATGTACCTTGTCATGAAGGTGTCACTTGCTGACTTTTTGCTGGTTTTTCTCATATGTTGGATTTTTGCATGTGGACCGTGTTGTGTTCTGTTTCCACTATTATCTCTATAACCACGTTACTTCACTGTTAGTCTCCTGCTATTATCACCGTAGCTGGCACACCCGTGTCTGCAGTCACCCCACTCTCTGTGAGCTCACTGGGGCCACTTCCGTGGAGCCCCGTTCTGGGGACACTTCTGTTTGGTGTCACATTTACGGTGCTGGGTCCTGCTAGCCTCTATGTTCTGAAACCAGGACCTGCATGTCCTCACACAGTTTCCAGCAGAGAATCCGTGCCCCTGACTCAGAAGGCAGTGGACACCCAGGCACAGGCCCAGGCCCCAGCATCCCCAAGGGAGCTTTAACCCGATGCTCTCAGCTATGTGACTGAAGGTTTGGAATGTACCTACTACATCCAGGCACATACGACGTCACCCTTCCCTTACAGGGGCGGAGATGGGATGAACTGCCAAGGGTTCAATGTACAGCTTGCCACAAATCCTGTTCTCTTCTTTGTCAGTGTTATTTGGTCCTGAAGTCCCTGACCGGCCTGAGATGCTGGGGTCAGACCTCAAAGATCAAGGCCCCTCGTCTGGCTTTAAGGATCACACCTGGCTGTGGTTCACCCTTTTGGCTGATGGCCGGGGCTCACTGCCCAGGTCAGGCTGGCTGGGCTCCAGGCCTCCTGATAAACAGAAGCCCGCTGATGTTGCATGGGGAACAGGAGATGAAGGTCCTCATTAGCACCTGCTCTCATGTAGTGGCTTAGGAGGAGCTCTAGCCTGATGTTCTAGATGGCCACTTCCAGCTTCGTTGGCCAGGATCTCCCCGCCTGAGTGCCTGAAACAGAAAGGGTTTGAGAGTTATAGTCAACTCTCTCTCTCTCTGTGTCTCTCTCTCTCTGTGTGTGTGTGTGTGTGTGTGTGTGTGTGTGTGTGTGTGTGTGTGTGTGTGTGTAGGGGCAGAGGGATGCCCCAGTCTGTCATGAACCCCACCACGTGCAGTGGGCAGTGCACTCACAGGACAATGTCCATGCTGCATCTGGGTCCAGGACACACGCGCCCCGCTGTGGTCACAGAGGACAGCGCTTTTCCTTTTTTCATTCGTTCTCTTCCTTTCTCCATTCCTCTCTTTCTTTCATGTGTTTGTGTATGTTTATATGCATATTCTCACAGGCATGAATACACATGTGTATGGAGGCCAGAAACTGGCATCAGATGTTGTCCTCAGTCATTTTCTACCTTCCGTACTGAAGCAGGGTCTCTCTCACCTGAAGCTAGATCTTGCTGATTCAGCTGGTCAGCCTAGTCAGCCAGCTTGCTCTGAGTTTCTACCTCCTGTGTGGTAAACCCTTTTACCTGCTGCGCCATCTCCCCAGCCCCAAATGACAGCTCTTTTAAAAAATATTTTGTTATTGGAGAATTCCATACAGTGTATTAAAATATTTTGTTATTTGAGAATTCCATACAGTGTATTAAAATATTTTGTTATTTGAGAATTCCATACAGTGTATTTTGGTCATATTCATTCCCCCAACTCCTCCCAGATCCACCCCACCACCCAATTTCATGTTCTCCCTCCCTCCCTCCATCAAGTTCAGTCTGTGCAGCCCAGTGCTCTTGGCCATCTCTTGGAGCAAGGTTGACCTACAAGGGGTCACACCCTTAAAGAGAACCCATCTTCCCTCTCCTAGAACCTATCAGAGGCCAGAAGCTCCACGGCAAGGAATGGGGCTTCACACCCGTCCCCTCCACGCTGAGATTTCCCCTGGCTCTGCTTGTGTGTCTTGAGCTGTCACTACCCCTGTGAGTTCCTGTGTGCTGCTGTTCTGTTGTATCCAGAGAGCAGTTTTTGTTGTAGTCATCCACCTCCTCTGGTTCTTACAATATTCCAGCCCCATATTCCTCTATGATTCCTGAGCCTTGGGGAAAGAGGATGATATAGATAACTAAGAAGTTAAAAAAAAAGGCTGGGCAGTCGCGGTACACACCTTTATCCCCAAAACTTGTGAGCCAGAGGCAGGTGAAGTCTGCAGAGTGAGTTCCAGGACAGGCTCCAAAAGCTACATAGAGAAACCCTGCCTCGAAAAATCAGGAAGTAAAGAAAGGAAAGGAAAAAACCTCAGGGAAGTAGTAAGGGGCCATGGGAAGGAAGGTAGCTTTCAAGGCAGAGGAGGTAGAATGTGTGTTGTAAAGGGGAGGGAAGGGACTAATAGAACAGGAAGGATCAAATGAGGTGAGGGATGGGAGGGCAGGTTAGAGGAGGGAGTGTGGAGAGCAACAACTAACACTAAAAGCCTTTTAAAAAATCACGTGAAAACCTACTACTGTAGAAGCTTCCTAAAACATACACATATAGGAAGAGTTTAAATGGAGTTACTCGATAAAAGGGAGCAATGTCTCTCCTAAATATGTCAGGAGAGTCAATAAAAAGCCTAGTATGAGGAACTCGTTACTTCCTTTGGAGCAGTGGGGTCCCATAGACCACCCCAAACATTTTAGGCCACTTCTCAGTTACCCTCTAGAACTTGATGGTGAGATCCTGCTACTGAAGATACTGCACACTTGAGTCAAAGAACACGGAGAACCCGAGCTGCTTTCTATCTGGGAGTTCCACCCCTACCAGGCAGCTTTCATAGCTCTGGAAGGGGCAGTGCATTCTACCAGAGGAGAAAAGCGACCACCAGTCTGACCCAGCTACGAGCCCTGTGAGCTATACCAACCACGGGTATGTACAACACATGCACCAGTGCAATAGAACCTAACACTTCCCGACTGGATTCAAGTCCCACTCCACAAGATGAAATCCAAAAGGCATCATTACTGGGGCCAAGAATCTGTGGCTGAATAGGTCTTAGGCCCTAGGGAAAAGCCTACTTTTACTCTTCTGCTACACGGACATAGAATTAAACAAGATGGCAGCTCTTAAACACCTCCAGACACCACTCTGACACTTGCTAAGATAATGCGCAAATGAATTGCTCCCTAAACGGAGAACATGACCAGCTGCCCATACGACGCAGCTCAGGGTAGGCTGGAAGCAGGAGCAGCCAACAGGCACGTTCAGACCCAAGGCTTGATTTGAACCAAATGAACAACAGAAAGTCTCAAGGGAGTGCTCCTCTTGGGGCCCCTGGACCAAGGAGCCCAGAAATCCCATAGGTAGGTAGGATACACATTGTGCCTCCTCAGAATCTGTCTCTACTGGAAGCAGCTATCTGGTTCCACCTCATCTCAGGGCCATGGCATGGAGTGGATATGTTGAATTTAGACAGAAGTCTAGAGAGGGACACCTGGTGAGTGGAGTAGTCCAATGGCCACCAAGACCAGGGGTGAGTGGAACTCCCCAGGACTCAGAGGCCCATATGTAGATTAAAGTGATTCCCAGTCCCAAAGATAAGCTGAAGTCTGAACTCCTAGAGCCTGCCAGCATGACCATGTTAGGAAACAGAGTTTCTGCAAACAACCATGTTAGAATATTTACACGTCCTACATACAAAGCAGTGAAAATCAGAGTAGCCCAGAGCTACCTGCGCATCCGTGTCAACACCATACTGTGAACTATGTGTTCACAACATACAGGAAATAGGGCTGGCCTAGATGTCCATCAACAGATGATCAGAGGAAGAACACGCAGTTCACAGACACAATGGGGTTTATTTGGCCATAAAAAGAACCAGGTTGCGACATTTGTAGACAAGTGGATGAAACTGACGATTATTATGTTACATAAAACAAGCCAAAGAGTCAGTGTGTGTGTGTGTGTGTGTGTGTGTGTGTGTGTGTGCGCGCGCACATGTGTGCACACGTGAGAGAGAGAGAGAGAGAGAGAGAGAGAGAGAGAGAGAGAGAGAGAGAGAGTATAAAGGAGAAGGGAGGGCTAGAGAGATGACTCTGCAGTTAAGAGCCTGCACTGCTCTTGCTGAGGACCAGAGTTCAGTTCCTAGTACCCATGTTAGCTGGCTCATAACCTCCAGTCACTCCAGCTCCAGGGGATCCAGTGCCATCTTGTGGCCTCCTCCAGCACCAGCACCCATGCACACAGACTCCACCCCCTGTACACAGACTCCACCCCCCTGTACACAGACTCCATCCCCATATACACATACTCCAGGCCCCCATGCACATAATTTAAAAAATAAAATAAATCTTTAAAAAATAGAGAGGAGACTATTTGGGAGAAGAAACAGACGAGAGTAGGAAGAGGGACAAGGAGGCCAGTTGTGGGGCAATTAGGAGCAAAGTGCAATGATATATGTGCATGAAAATGCAGTAGCTAGGGGCTGGAAAGTTGGCTCAGTGATTAAGAGCACTGGCTGTGTTTCGAGAGGACCCAGGTTCAATTCTCAGCACCCACACAGCAGCTCACAACCGTTTATAATTTAACTTGTAGGGAATCTGACACCCTCTTCTGGAATCTGAGAGAACCAGGCACACCAGCAAAGCACAGACATGCATGCAGAAGAAAAAACATAAAATAAAATGTGACTGTTTAACTCATTATTTTATATTCTATATAAAAAACTGAACAGAAAAAAAGCTTACAACAACGACAACTGGTCAGTTGGGTGTAGACTTAGGGGCAGCTGGTCCTGGCGTGGGTTGGGCAGGGCATCTAGACAGGGGCCATCGCTTCTGCTTCCTGTGGACTGCGGTTCCTGTAGGTCATGAAGCCAAAAAGCCAGCACTGTGTTCTGTGCTTCTACAACTTGCTTAATGATTTGTTTCTCTGATGAGGAACTCTGTCCCCGATGCTATTAGACCTTCGGATTGAAATTAAATTAAATAAGTTGACGAATTGTAATGTATTAGAAAAGACAGTGTTCTGCTTGCGTCTGGTAAATGAAATGGACCTTTAAAAATTGATTTTATAGTTGATCGATGTGACCAAATCAAGGGAAACATGCTCATTTGATCTGTCTGGGACTCATAAATTAGTGAGTTAAACAAGCTTTGAATGAGTCAACAGCTAAATGTGCCTTGAATGTGAAATGTGGGGCTTCGAGGGACTCTGCTATCAGAGAGGAAGCAAAGAGAGTCTCCTCTGTCCCAACAGATACAGCCCTTCCTTCTGCCATAAGAACAGCTGGCCACATCCCCCAAGATCACCAGAGGAAGACCAGAGTCTCAGGAAGCACGGGCTTGCAGATGTGGACCAGCCCCTCCTACTTACTTGGGGTAGCTACTGCCAATTCCTTTGGCCACAGACCTACACCAGTGGGTCTTGATTCCTCATCACTAGAGAGGGAACCGGCTTCTTGGAGGGAAGCTCAACAAGGAACCAAGCCATATGCTTGTCAGGGGTGGGGGCCCAAGGCTCGGATGCCCTAGAAAAGGCTGTCTTGGGAAAAGTAGGTACCATTTGCCTGGGTGGCAGGATACAGAGGGAGAGGAGTGGCCTTCCTGTGGCACGCTATCTGCACAAGACCCTTAAAACAGAACGTTCTCTGTTGCTCCTTAGCCCCCGTGAGCCGCTGGTCTCTGAGTGATATGTCGCTAT